TTATATTTGGTACCGTTAGAAAGAAAATTTAATTTACTATCATATACAAAAAAGATCAGTGCCCTACGATAAATTGTTATCGAGAAAATTTCTGAAAAACTTAAAAATTTTAAAAATATAAATTCTACTATAACTTCAAAACCATTACGAATTTTGCAGTTTTCTTGACACCAATCGATTTCTCGGAACACCTTACATAGGTTATAGTTTCGGATAAAGAGCCATTTTTAGTTTTTTATTAAAAAAAACGTATCTCAAAAACTATGAGTTCTAGTTCAGGACCGGCGTATTCTCCGGTTAATTTTACATGTAAAACTAGTTTTTCATAAGAATAAAAAAAAATGATTTTTTGGTCAGAATCGCATTGTGCGAGTAGTCTTATTTATTAACTTTATTACACAGTTAAAAACTATACATCGTAGAGTATTTTAACCTGTTGCATTGTATTTAGCGTGTATAATTTTTTGTCTAGAATACCATGTTTTAAGCGTTTTTGCGACAAAAAGTTTTTTTTATTTTTACTGTCCAGATTACGAAAACTCAAAAAATTTACTTTTTTTGATAATTATTTTATGTTTGGTACCGTTAGAAAGTACTTAATAATAAGTACAATAATTATTGAGAAAATCGCTGGTAAAAACAAAAATAGCAAGACAGTCTTTCAGTAGCTCACACTACTTAACTTTACTTTCAGTTGATGTATATAGCTATATTCTTGGTTATATTTTAAAATTATTTGACTTTGAGTAGGAAAATCCACTTGAGGCATTTTCAAAAGTTCGAAATAAAATATTATCCCGGCGCATCCACCATTTTTTATTTACAAAACAATTTATAAAAAAATATTTGAAATTACATATTTCAGTATTAGAGAAGTATTGTTGATTTTTGCGGGATTTGAACTCTGGAATAGTGACCTTATGTTACTCCGCCACAAAAGCTCCCGTTAGGTATTTCTGCTCTAGTCTAATATATTCACATAAAAAAGTAATTTTTGTATTTTTACGTTTCACGCACCTTAAGATGCATTTCGATCAGTTCTGCATTATTCAATTTTTTAATTTTGGTCGTTTTTGACATTGTTATTGATATTGATAATAACTCTGGAATTATTAGTAGTAGTAATTTTTAAGTCAATTAAAATGTGAGTAAGCAAGAAAAGTTAAAATATTTGTCTTCTCATTGTTATATAAACATTTATATTTTTTGGAAAAAATAAATAAAGTTTCCCATTGRGGAGCCGTTTAAATTGATCAAATTGCGCTCTGTAGAGCTTGAAGTTCGTGTAAAATTGGTCCATTWAATAAATAATGTGGTGCAAGCCTGGCATAGATGGCATTGCGTTGTGTGTGAAAGAGAAAAGTCGCATTATCACTGGTGATTAAGATAGATGAGTCTTTCTCTACTGTTGCAGTCATAACAAGATTGGGAGTTTGTATTTGTTTTATTTCCAGTTCGTTTGGCACGACAAAATCCCCGTGTTTGCTGTTCGATGTGCACTGCTATCGACGAAGAGAGGGGTCAACAAAGATAGAAAAAGGAGGTGGAGTTTATCAGCATGATTTAAATTGCTAAAATGGGCGTTTTATGTTTTTATTCAATCAAATCTAACTCAACAGAAGACAATCCAATTTAGATTTTCTTTCCAATTTTGTTAGAAAAACCTTTATTCTATTACAAGACAAATCAATGGGGGAGCAATTTAACTTGTCGGAACAACGAGCAGTCATTGCCATTCGCGTTATTGAATTATCATTGATTTCCACCACATCGATTTCTTCAGACAGCCCCAAATATCTCACCCACTCACTTCATCAATTTTAATCTCCCACACAAATTAAACGCTCATTTCAACAACTGAAAAAATTTTTAAAACCTTGTGACTTAATTAGTGTGTGGATTTTGTGTAAAAGGGTGCAAACAATGTGCTAATTCGTGGTGTGGGGTATTATATCAGTGTTGAGATGCGCGAGTTAGCACTCGGGGCTGTCGATATTGGTAATTCCAATCAGTGCAATGCGCCCAAATCGATTGAAGCAATTACTTGAGCGTGTCGTTAAAGCCCTATCTTTTGCACACTAGCTTTCAGTTTTATTTGCAAGCAGTGGCGTTGGCATATTTTGTATCCTCATTAAAGTAATGGAATTAAATTAATCTAGGCCCTATTTCGCTATAGCTTTATTACCCCTGGGAGGTAGCGCATTAAATTCGAGTGTTGTCTACGCTAATTCCTCTCAGGGGAAGCTTTACCGGCTCGTTTCGTTTCGCTCCACCCTTCCTGCTGTCCTGCCGCTACACGCTTGAATTCGCACCTTTGCAGATAACCAAACAGCCAGGATCAACGTTTCAACATTGTCTCATATTGACTTATTCAACTAATAACAATAGTGTTTTAAAGAAAAACAAATTCGAGCCAGAACGGGGGAAAAAACATTCTCGCTCTCGGCAATTAACTAATTATTTCTTCATTTACTACATTACCTTAAAGAGGGTAATTGAGAACATCTCAGTGTTAGGTACTTTAATTAAGGAAATGTAATTAATTAACGCTGGAGACAAAAACTCTGTAAAGAAATTAGTAAGGCGGTGAAAAAGTAGAAGGGTGGCGCGTTAAGTTGATTGTCCTTTTGGTCGCACAAACTCAGTCGGAACCAAGACTAGGATTTGATTTGCTTTAGGGGTGCTTGTTGGGTGACGGAAAAACATATTTAATGCCGACACGTATTCGCACTTTAATCGTCCACTAGGGAGAATGAATAGTATTTTAATAATTCATCGCTACTACTAATAAGCAATACATCAATGTAAAACAGCTAAATGCTACAGTTTCTAGTAATATAATCGACCGATACTCTAGAAACCACTTTTTCATAGGTGTTAGGGAAAAGAACTCTATTGTCAGTTAATTAATTATTTTTTTATATCTATTTTCTTTAAAAAGCAATACTTATTTTATCATTAATTTTAACTAAGTAATTGATTATTATTTTGTTTAGTTTTTAAGAGAAAAAAATAGAAAAAATGGTATGAAAACACGTGTTACAACTTTGTACTCGTGCTTTCTAATCTTGTTTTTTAATATAGCTTTTCGACACTTATTAAATTTTTTTTTAATTAATCAACTTTCAAAAACATTGATTAAATCACTTTTCTAAAAAATCTGTTTTGACTTTTAGAGTAAGTCGGGGAGAGATTGAAAATTATCTTTTTTATTTTAATTAAAACAATAAATATTTTTATTTTACTTTTTTAGTAAGGACTTTAAGACTATAATATAGTACATACATCGTTTATAAGTAAAAACGTAAATAACGTAAATAAAAAATATTATATTTTGAGGTGTAAAAGTCCATTTTAATCTCCCAAGACATATTTTTAACTAAAGTTTTAGATAAAATATCATAACGTTTTAGGCACAATCTTGAGAAAATTTTAATTTTAGAATTTTTGAGAGCTTTACAACCGATACTTTCAGTTAGATATAGAAATATTTTTTTTATTTATTTCTTTATTTTTATTACATATTTCATTCATGTTATCGCACTTACCTATTCTTTATGTTTTATTTAATTACTTTTGTTTAATTATAGATAAATATTTCACTATTTCACCTATGTAGTGCAAATTTGCGCTCCTATGCGCCTCCTTTTTTACATTTATTGGAATTGTTAGTATTTGAGTTAAAGAAAAATTGCCAACTTTATTGGGATTCAAACTCCGGACTACGCCACCAAACTCCCGACATGTATTCTGCTCTAGTTTAATATATTCAACCATACACAAAAATTATTTTTTTGTTCTTTAATGCACTTTTTTGGACTTCTATGAGTGTATTTGGTTCAGTTTTGAAGTTTTTAATTTTTTCGATTTTTGTCAAAATTTTGTGCGACTTTCATTGTGATTTTACGTTTAGAAGACTATGTTTTAAGCGTTTTTATGAGAAAAAGTTAATTAACAATTTTTACAATTTTTATGTTCTTGAAAATCGATTTCTTTATTAGTTCTAATAACGTTTTATGCTCTTTTCTGCGACTCTGACTTCATTGTATGTGTGAAAAACGTTATTGGTTTCATTTTTTGAGAAAAATTTAAAAAAGCTCTCATGCTTTTGTGCTTATGCCGCTCTTATGCACCCGCCATGTTTTACAGCTGATGTGAATTAGAATTAGAATTTAAATTAAAGAAAAATTGCCGACTTTAGCGATCTTATGTCACTACGCCACAAAGTGCCCGTCATGTATATCTGCTCTAGTCTAATATATTCATTTTTTTTATTTGTAATTTTTGTATTTCTACGACGTTTTATGCACTTTTAGACTTCTTGAAGTGCATATAAAAAATTTACAAAGTTTTCAATTTTTAGATTTTGGACGATTTTGCCAAACATTTTGCAATATCTCTTCTAGTTTTGCCGTAATCGAAGTTTAAAAATTGAAATTTTTATTGCGAGATATTGATCTGATAGATTTTTTTAACGCTGATTACGATGGTGTTGGGCTTTTTGCTCTAAGTCTAATAATTTCTCTTCAAAAAGGAAACAAAAGCTCAAAAGAACTAAAAAACTATATATCTTAGGTCAAAACGGTTTAAACAGGCGAATACAACGAGTAATTTTACATATACGAGTAGTATCAGTTTTTAATAAGATTAAAAAAAAAGTTTTTTGGTCGCAATCAAATATAGTGACTATGCTTATAGTTTTATTTTTGACTTTATTACTTAATATTTTAAAAATCACTTATTGTAGAGCATTTTAATTTGTTGCAACGTGTTTAGCGTCTAATTTTTTTTAAGAAAACAAGTTTTTCGACCATATTCACGATACTACCTACAAAAATTCAACTAAATCGTTTTTTTTAACTCTACAACAGTTTATACATATTTCTGAGTTTTAAATAGCTATATTTTAATTGTTTGATTTTGAACAAAAAAAAATATCCCGGCGCATCCACCATTTGTTAATAAACATATATATATATATATAAAACTATTTAAAATAGTGTGAGGTTTAGAAGGGAGCGAGCGGCAAAGCCGTGAGCCCTTCGTTAAATTTTGATAGAATCTAATAGTGTGAGGTTGTATTTAAAATTTAACAAAATCTGATAGTGAGTTCTATAATTATTTAAAATATTTGCAAAAGAGGTAGTATGAGCCCTAAACAGGGGGAGCGGCCAAGCCGCGACTTCCTATAATTTCTACAAAACATTTTCAAATTCGACCGGATTTGATTACCATTTTCTAGTATTTTTTTCTAATTATCGATAAAACCGAAACTCGTAAATAAAGTTTTCATTGTAACAAAATTTACAAAAATTAAAGTCACTGACTTTTACAAAATTGCAACAAAATTGTTTTTTGACAAACATAAGGGTAGATGAGGTAACAGTGTCAAAGTGTAATTTTTTTTTAATCTAAGCTACATTCACATAAAGATTCTTTGTCCAAAAATAAAATATTTGCAAATCATATATTGTGAGGTTTAATTTTTGATAAAATTTTATAGTGTGAGGTTTAGAATTTAGAATTTGACAAAATCTGATAGTGTGAGGTTTAAGCGGATCCGAGCGGCAAAGCCGCGAGCTTCCCATTCAAAAATTTAAAAAAATCTGAAACTGTGAATTTTATAATTATTTAAAATATTTGCAAAAAAGGCAGTATGAACCCTAGACGGGGACGAGCGGCCAAGCCGCGATTTTTTATCGAACTATAACACTTAATACATATTTCTGAGTTTTAAATAGCTGTATTTTAAAATTGTTTGATTTTGAACAAAAAAAATCAAACTTAAAACAATATTAAAAATGCAAAAGTAAAAATTATCCCGGCGCATCCACCATTAGTTAATAAACAATTGAAAAAACTAAAAGATATTGTTTTTAAAAATCAGTTTGCGGTTTAATAGTTCAAAAAAAAATGACGGCGTTTTATTCACTTTTAGATCAACGATCAATTTATCAAAATTTTCAATTTTTAGATTTTTGACAAAATTGTGGTCGATTTTCAATATTCGGAGCGGTCTATTGCTAATAACTTGAAAATTATAAGCAACAGCCCGTTATGTTTAGTACCATTTGAAAGCACTTTTAATTTCTTATTTAATTAAGAAAAAAGATTATTGTTCTACGACAAATAGTTATTGAGAAAATCGCTGATAAATACAAAAATTGCAAAAATCTCCCAGCTTTGATCCAATATCATTCATACACAAAATTTAAAAAAAAATTCTATGAACTGTTAGTATTTAAATATGAATTATAAAAAAAATTCTGGCCCAGGCACCTACCTACTACAAGCAGCACCTGCGCCACCACGCTCCCGATTAATGTCTCTGCTCTAATCTAAAATTTAATGTTTGTGTTAATTTAGCAGTTTGTGAAAATGTGGTTTATAATAGATTGAAGAGGAAACTTTTGCAGTTATCCTTGGCGAGGACCAGGAGAAAGTCAGCGAGGAGAGCTTGGGCAAAACCCGACATTCAGTTCTGAGCAGTTCCGGTAAAGCGACAACAAAACAAAGAAGATCTCGTACAAATTTTACTTTAGAACAACTCAATGAGCTGGAAAGATTATTTGATGAAACCCATTATCCTGATGCATTCATGAGAGAAGAACTTAGTCAACGGTTGGGKTTGAGTGAAGCTCGTGTCCAGGTAATTCTCTTTCGTTTTGTGGGTAATCAGTGTTGATTTGCGCRAGCGAAACGGTCAATTTATTAAGTGGTTTGTCTGATCGGAGGGACCGACAATCGAGAAACATCTCTTTCTTCTTCGTGTTATCAATCAGTCTTAATACTCCCCTAAAGTCGTTAATCCAGCACTTAATTGATGCGATTTCCATTCCCTACACATCATACGTATTCATTAGGAAATTATCTGCTAATAGTGGCATTAGTCTGAGTAAATCGTGTGGAACCAATGTCACATTAGAAAAATACTCACCCGAACGGTCAAACAAGGGCTAATGGAAGAGCCCTCACTGACCGGCTCACTACGTTTTTATTTATGGGGCTATTTCCGCTCACACTTTTAACAGATTTCGTAGGGATACAATGAAAATTACATAATTTGATTTGTTTTAGGTATGGTTCCAAAATAGAACCGATATTCTAAAAACCACTTTTTCATAGGTGTTAGGGAAAGAATTCTATTGTCAGTTAATTATTTTTTTTAATATCTATTTTCTTTAAAAAGCAATACTTACTTTCATTAATTTTAATTAAGTTGTTTAGTTTTTAAGAGGAAAAATGGAAAAAATGCTATGAAAACACGTGTTGTACTCGTGCATTCTAATCTTGTTTTTTAATATAGCTTTTCGACACTTTTATTTAAATTTTTCTTTAAATAATTAACTCGCAAAAACATTGATAAAATCACTTTTCTAAAAAATCTGTTTTGGCTTTTAGGGTAAGTCGGGGAGAGATTGAAAATTATGTTTTTTATTTCAATTTAAACAATAAATATTTTTCTTTCACTTTTTTAGTAAGGACTTTAAGACTATAATATAGTACATGGTTTATAAGTAAAAACGTAAATAACGTAAATAAAACACCTATTTAAAAAATAATATATTTTGAGGTTTAAAAGTCCATTTTAATCTCCCAAGACATATTTTTAATTAAAGTTTTTGGTAAAATATCATAACGTTTTATGCAGATTCTTGAGAAATTTTTTTAATTTTACAATTTTTACCAATACTGTCAGTTAGATATAGAAATATAGAAATATTTTTTTTTATTTATGTATTTCTTTATTTTTATTACATATTTCATTCATGTTATCGCACTTACCCATTCTTTATGTTTTATTTAATTACTTTTGTTTACTTATAGATAAATATTTACTATTTCACCTATGTAGTGAAACCCGAACGGTCAAACAAGGGCTAATGGAAGAGCCCTCACTGACCGGCTTACTACGTTTTTATTTATGGGGCTATTTCCGCTCACACTTTTAACAGATTTTGTAGGGATACAATGAAAATTACATAATTTGATTTGTTTTAGGTATGGTTCCAAAATAGAAGAGCCAAATGCAGGAAGCACGAAAGCCAAATTCAAAAAGGTAAACAACGATTTGTTGATTTACATATTTTTGCTCAAAATTTATTACAAATTTACATTTTCCAAGCGCTAAAATTTACTCATTCACCCTTTCAAGGTGGTGTATTTTTAGCATTTTTTAAATTAATTTCATTTCTAAGACTCTTAGTTTTTTTGGAGTTAGCGGCGCTTAGCAAATGTAATTTTATGAAATGCGGCCGGACCGAAGGGCTGTGGGTCGTGGAAGCGGGTGTGAGGGGTGTTGATGTGAGCGCGAGGCAGTAAGTGTAATTTACCGGCCCCAGGGGTTCGTCCTCCTCGCTGGACCAGTCATCTTACGCCCGGCATTTGAATGACTGAGCGTTGGAAAATTGCTCTCCCGGGGAATTATTTCATTTGATTGAAAACTTTCTCTTAGCAGTATTTTTTTAGCGCACTCTTGTATATAAATTCGATTATGTACCGCAGATTTGTTAGGGGACATAAGCCCATGATATATTCATGGCTAGCTAGAATTATGAGGGTCGAGTCTTGGTTTAAAGATGATTTCAGTAACAAATTGCTGCCTCTTCTAAATTATTTAATGCTCTAACTTGAATTTATCGTACTATAATTTTGACGGAGTTTACGCTGCTTCAAATTACCTACACCCATTATCACAACTACAGCGCGGCCCATTAAATATCCCAACTTCAAAACTTCATTTCGCATAATGTTTATGTAACAGAATTTACAAACATTAAAGTCACTGATTTTCACAAAATTAAAGAAATTTTTTTTGACAATATTAATTTTGATAAAATTTTATAGTGTGAGATTTAGACGAAGGCGAGCGGTAAAGCCGCGAGCCTCTTTTATAAATTTTGACAAAATCTGTTAGCGTGAGGTTTAAAATTTTACAAAATCTGATAGTGTGAGTTTTATAATTATTTAAAATATTGCAAAACAGGTAGTGTGAGTCCTAGACGGGGGTGAGCGGCAAAGCCGCGACCTTTTATAATTTCTACAAAACATTTCAAATCCGACCGGATTTGATTATCAGTTTCTAGTATTTTTTTTTAATCATTGATAAAACCAAAACTTGTAAATAAAGTTTTCATTTACGAAAATTAAAGTCACTGATTTTCCCGAAATTGCAAAAAAACTGTTTTTCAACAGTCATAAAACCAGTCTTTTTTTTATATAAGCAAAATAGATCAAGTGAGCTACATCCTCAAAAAAATTCTCCGAAAATAAAATATTTGCAAATCAGATAGTGTGAGGTTTAGAAGCCGGCAAAGCCGCGAGCCCCTCGTTAAATTTTTATTAAATCTAATAGTGTGAAGTTTCCATTTAAAATTTAGCAAAATTTGATAGTGAGTTCTATAATTATTTAAAATATTTGCAAAGGAGGTAGTATGAGCCCTAAACGGGGGCGAGCGGCCAAGATGCGACTTCCAATAATTTCTACAAAACATTTGAAACCAAAATTCGTACTTAAATAAAGTTTCTATTTTAACGAAATTTACAAAAATTAAAGTCACTTACTTTCACAAAATTGCAAAAAATTTGTTTTTTGCCAAATATAAGGGCAGATGAGGTAAGAGTGTTAAACATTTAATTTTTTTTAACCTAAGCAAAATAGCCCAAATTAGCTACATAACATAAAAATTCTTTGTCCGAAAATAAAATATTTGCAAACCATATATTGTGAGGTTTAAAAGGGGGCGAGCGGCTTTGCCGCAAGCCCCCCGTTAAATTTCGCATGAGGTTTAGACCGGGGCGAGCGGCAAAGCCGCAACCTCTTATAATTTCTACAAAACATTTTCAAATCCGACTGGATTTAATTACCATTTTCTAGTATTTTTTTTTAATTATTGATAAAACCAAAACTCGTAAATAAAGTTTTCATTGTAACTGAATTTAGAAAAATTAAAGTCGCTGTTCACAAAATTGCAAAAAATTTGTTTTTCGACAAACATAAGGGCAGATAAGGTAAGAGTCTCAAACAGTTAATTTTTCTAATCTAAGCAAAATAGACCACATTTACATAAAAAAAAATTGTCCGAAAATAAAATATTTTTGCAAATGAGATAGTGTGAGATTTAGAAGTTAAATTTTGATAAAATCTTATAGTGTGAGATTTAAAATTTGACAAAATCTGATAATGTGAGGTTTAGATGGAGTCGAGCGGCAAAGCCGCGAGGTCCCCATTTAAAATTTAACAAAATCTGATGGTGAGTTCTATAATTTTTTAAAATATTTGCAAAAGAGGTAGTATGCGCCCTAGACGGGGGCGAGCGGCCGCGACCTCCTATAATTTCTACAAAAAAATTTCAAATCCGACCGGATTTGATTACCATTTTCTAGTATTTTTGTCTAATTATTGATAAAATTAAAACTCCTAAATAAAGTAAACGTAAGGGCAAATGAGGTTTTTTAATATAAGCAAAAGAGACTAAATTAGCTACATTCACATAAAAATTCCTTGTCCAAAAATAAAATATTTT